CTGGGGGAAATACGAGATAAAGAACTACAGCAGAATGATAACTGGAACAACCAATATACTATGAATCAACAGGAACACGAATACACTAAAGAAAAAATGCACGGCATCACCCTTCGTGCTTTTACTCTCAACCTCACCATAAAATCAATAGAAACGATACGGCATCACCCTTCGTGCATTAACTCTCATATTATGGCATGACATCACCCTTCGTGCATTAACACTCACAATATGGCACGACATCACCCTTCGTGCTTTTACACTCACAATATGGCACGACATCACCCTTCGTGCATTAACACTCTCCCTTACCATAATACAATGAACAATTAACAAAAGGGAGATAGAATAACAAGTACAAGCCTTACTTCAGCATTTGGTTCCATAACATCAATCTCAACTTTGAAATAAATACTCAATTATCACCAGAAGATCCGTAAACATGATAAGAACGATTAAGTTAATAACATTAGTCTAAACACATAACAATTAGGCATGGAAAAGAGATAATATAAGAAAAATGGGAGAAACGGGGAAAACATGTAAATTGGCGGCGCATAAGTACTCGTCACCTCACATATACGTCGCTCACATGAATTTCACATAGAAATTAATCTGAGGTTCCTAATTTCCTCAAGTCAGGGTTAACCAAGACACTTACCTCGCTCTGAAGGCCACTTAATACTCAATCATAGCCTCTCCTTTAGAATTCACCTCCAAACCACTCGTATCTATTTAAAAATAACTCAATAATATCAAATGTTGCTAAAGGAATCAATTAAATTGCATAAATTTAGATTTTCCCAAATTTTCCTCCAAAAAGTCAAAAATCGACCCGGACCCGCTTGGTCAAAACTCGAGGTTAAGACCAAAATCCACTTACCCATTCACCCCCGAGCCCGGATATATAATTGGTTTTGGAATGCGACCTCAATTTGAGGTCTAAATCCCCAAATTTCTGAAATCCCTAATTTCTACCCAAAACCCCTAATTCTACCATGAAAACTCTAGATTTTTGGTTGGAAATTCATGAAATGTAACGGGTAATTGAAAAAAAATGGTTTAGAATCATTTACCAACACTTTGGAGAAGAAACTATCTCTTGAAAATCGCCTCTAGCCTGTTTTGTTTTTGAAAATGTGAAAAAAATGGCTAAATCCCGTTTTTGATTCTGTTTCAAGTGCTGGGCGATAGTGTTCATCGCGATCGCATGAACACTGTCGCGTTCGCGAAGATCAGCCTCCTAAGGACTTACGCGATCGCGGGAGGCTTTACGCGTTCGCGAAGGTTTAGCCCGCCTTACCTTCGCGTTCGCATAGAGTTTCATAGGTCCCCTGCCAAGCCTAGCTAAAGCTATGCGTTCGCGTTCGCATAGAGCAACTCCCCCCAATGCTCCGCGTTCGCGACCATGGTCTCGCATTCGCGTAGAGTAAAATCCTCCCCAGCCCAGGTTCCCCTTCGCGATCGCGAAAGTGACTAACTATTGGTAACTATAAAACATCATAAACTACCTTAAAATATGTTCACAAACACCATATAAAATCACTGTAAAAACACCATAGAACAAGAAAGAGTTGGGTACTAGTTAAAAAAAATTAAAAAGTAGGTACAGGTTAAATGGGGACGACCAAATAGGGCGCCCCGTGCAAATTTACGTATTTCAAACTTAAGGTGTTGCAGCCTGGGCTAAGGAATTAAGCTCGCATAATTGGATTTAACTTGATCTGAAATGAGTTCAAACCAAAACCAATTTATGACTTATTATAAGGACCAACCTCAGGCCCAGGACTAGGCCCAGGTTCTGACAAAAACCCACCTCCACGTGCAAAAGAAAGTACAAAACAAATTGCGTGGCATGTTTCCCAACAAGACTGGTCTCGGTGGAATATCCCAATTGTTACAGTATTAGCGAAATGTTCTGATTATTTACTTAAACACCATAGTTCTTCAAGATTTAAAACTTGAAATTCTTGTTTGGTGGTGAAAAATAGAAATGCTTAAATTTTTAGTTCAAACAGCGATTTAGTGATTTACTATAAAAAGCTCAAAACTCCATTATTGAAACTTAGAAAGTATAAGAAGACAGTGGTTCTTTTTAATTTGGTGTTATTTGACTAAGAGCCCGTTTGGATTGGCTTATTTTAAGTACTTTTAAGCCAAAATAGCTTTTAAGCCATTTGTAGTGTTTGAATAAAGTAAAAACGTGCTTTTAAGCACTTGTTTTTATGGATGAGCTCTAAATTAGAGATTTGGGATTGTTTGTGTTGGTATTTGGTGTGAGTTGAGCTTCAGTTGAGCTAGGTCATGAACTCCATTAATGGAGCAATGTAGCAGTAGCGTGCAAGGAAGAAGGAAGAGAGAGAGAGAGAGAGAGAGAGAGAGAGAGAGAGAGAGAGAGAGAGAGAGAGAGAGAAATTGCACTTTAGTGCACTTAAGGCCAAATAGGTGTGAAGTATAACAAATGGTTTCATGCACTTTAAGGCCAAAAAGTCTAAAGTGAAAAAATTGCACTTTAGATGCACTTAAGGCCAAATAGGTCTGAAGTGCAACTAATGGTTTCATGCACTTAAGGCCAATAAGTCTGAAGTGAAAAAATTGCACTTCAGATGCACTTAAGGCCAAATAGGTCTGAAGTGCAACCAACGTTTTCATGCACTTAAGGCAAAATAGGCCTGAAGCGCAAATTGCCCAAAAACAGAAATTTGTTATTCGAATTTTAGCAATCCAATATACGATTTAACATCTAAATCTATTCCAAATGAGTTCAAATTTGAAAAATAATCTCCAAATATCAACAAACCCCAATCATCAATTTGTCAAAATAATAATAAATCTAACAAGTCCATTTTGCAATTAAGAAAAAGAAGAAGAAGAAACCCTAAACAATAGTAAAAAATAAAGTGCCACATCAACTCACTACTGTAAAACATAATAAACTATCTTAAAATATGTTGACAAACACCATATAAAATCATTGTAAGAAGAAGAAGAAGAAAGAGTTGGGTACCAGTTAAAAAAAATTAAAAAGTGGGTATAGATTAAATGAGGGCGACCAAATAGGGCGTCCCATACAAATTTTACGTATCGGGGCATTTGCATCTATACCCGGTTTTGGGGTCACAATTGAAGTTATACCCACTTTGCAAAAAAATTTGCAAGCCTACCCACTTTACGATCAACTTCAGACTTATCGGGTCTGAAGTTAAAAAGAATTAGTCTGAAGTGCAGTGCACTTAAGGCCAATTAAGTCTAAAGTACAAAAATTGTACTTAAGATACACTTAAGGCCAGATAGGTCTGAAGTGCAGTAAATATTTTCATGCACTTAAGGTCAGAGAGGTTTGAAGTGAAAAATTATACTTCAGATGCACTTAAGGCCAAATAGGTGTGAAGTGCAACCAATGGTTTCATGCACTTAAGGCTAAACAGTGTGAAGTAAAAAAATTGCACTTCATTGCACTTAAGGCCAAATAGGTCTAAAGTGCAACAAATAGTTTCATGCACTTAAGGCCAAAAAGTCTGAAGTGAAAAAATTACACTTTAGATGCACTTAAAGCCAAATAGGTCTGAAGTGCAACCAATAGTTTCATGCACTTAAGGCCAAAAAGTCTGAAGTGAAAAAATTACACTTTAGATGCACTTAAAGCCAAATAGGTCTGAAGTGCAACCAATAGTTTCATGCACTTAAGTCCAATAAGTCTGAAGTAAAAAAATTACACTTCAGATGTACTTAAGGCCAAATAGGTCTGAAGTGCAACCAATAGTTTCATGCACTTAAGTCCAATAAGTCTGAAGTAAAAAAATTACACTTCAGATGTACTTAAGGCCAAATAGGTCTGAAGTGCAACCAACGTTTTCATGTGCTTAAGTCCAAATAGGCCTAAAGTACAAATTGCCCAGAAACAGAAATTTGTTCTTCGAATGTTAACAATCCAATATAAGATTTAACATCTAAATATACTCCAAATGAGTTCAAATTTGAAACATAACCTCCAAATATCAACAAACCTCAATCATCAATTTGTCCAAAACAACAATAAATCTAACGAACCTATTTTTCAATTAAGAAAAAGAAGAAGAAGAAGAAAATGAAGAAACCCTAAACAATAGTAAAAACTAAAGCGCCACAACAATTCACCACTATAAAACATCATAAACTACCTTAAAATATGTTCACAAATACCATATAAAATCACTGTAAAAACACCATAGAAGAAGAAAGAGTTGGATACTAGTTTAAAAAAATTTAAAAAATAGGTACAGGTTAAATGGGGACGACCAAATAGGGCGCCCCGTGCAAATTTTACGTATTTCAAACTTAAGGTGTTGCAGCCTGGGCTAAGGAATTGAGCTCGCATAATTGGATTTAACTTGATCTGAAATGAGTTCAAACCAAAACCAATTTAAGACTTATTATAAGGACCAACCTCAGGCCCAGGACTAGGCCCAGGTTCTGACAAAAACCCACCTTCACGTGCAAAAGAAAGTACAAAAAAATTTGAATGGCATGTTTCCCAACAAGACTGGTCTCGGTGGAATATCCCAATTGTTACAGTGTTAGCGAAATGTTTCGATTATTTACTTAAACACCATAGTTCTTCAAGATTTAAAACTTGAAATTCTTGTTTGGTGGTGAGTTTAGTTCAAACACTGATTTAGTGATTTACTGTAAAAAGCTCAAAACTCCATTATTGAAACTTAAAAAGCATAAGAAGACAAAGTGGTTCTTTTTGATTTGGTGTTATTTGACTAAGAGCCCGTTTGGTTGGCTTATTCTAAGTAGTTTTAAGCCAAAATAACTTTTAAGCCATTTGTAGTGTTTGAATAAAGTAAAAAGTACTTTTAAGCACTTGTTTTTATGGATGAGCTCTAATTAGAAATTTGGGATTGTTTGTGTTGGTATTTGGTGTGAGTTGAGCTTCAGTTGAGCTAGGTCATGAACTCCATTAATGGAGCAATGTGGCAGTAGCGTGCGAGGAAGAAGGAAGAGAGAGAGAGAGATGAAGAAGAAAAGCTTTTCTGTATATTCAATTGTATATAAATAACACATACAACCTCTATATTTATAGACACAACTAACCTCTACTTAATTAAGCTAAGGACACTAACTATTGGTAACTAATTCTAACAACATCAACTAACTCTGCCAGCTAGCCTAACTAACTTGACAGCTAGCTCATTTCTTAGCACTACACAGTCGACTTATTAATTCGCACACCCCCCTTCAAGATGGAGGGTGTAAGATGTTGAGCACTCCTAGCTTGCCCAGTAGATACTCATGTTGTATTCTTCTCAGTCCCTTAGTCAACAGGTTTGTCTGCCGATCCTCAGTTCCAATGTGATGTGTCTTGATCCTTCCTTCCTTGATCTTATCCCTAATAAAGTGACAATCTATTTCAATATGTTTGGTCATTTCATGAAATATGGGATTTGCTGCAATTTGTAAAGCAACTTTGCTATCACACATTATATCCACTGGTTGCTTGATAGATGCATTGAGCTCTGTAAACAATCCCATCAACCATACAATTTCTGCAGTAGTTGTTGCTAAGCTTCTGTATTCTCTTTCTGCTGAGCTTCTTGAAACTGTCTGTTGCTTCTTTGACTTCCAAGACACCAATGAATCTCCAAATTTTACCACAAACCTAGTCACTGATCTTCTAGTGTTAGGACATGATGCCCAGTGCATTACAGTGACAAACCAGACTGTCTACATGCTTGCTACTCATCAGAATCCCCATTCCTGGATTCTGTTTGATGTATTTCCCTACCCTTACTGCTGCTTCCCAGTGGGACTGCTTAGGTGATTACATGAATTGGCTCAATGTTTGCACAACAAATATGATATCTGGCCTAGTGATTGTTAGGTATATCAACCTGCCAATCAACCTCTGATAGGCTGAAATGCATGTCAACATTTCATCTCCAGCTACTCCAACATGTTTATCAAACTCTACTGAGGTGAACTTTTGATTCATATCAAGTGGAGTAGCTGCTGGCTTTGTTGATCCTAGACCTACATCACACACCAGTTGAAGTGCATACTTTCTCTGGTTCAATAAAATCCCTTGGTTGGATCTCATGACTTCTATCCCTAGGAAATACCTCAATTCTCCAAGATCCTTCACTTTGAACTTCCTGTTTAAAACATTCTGTCTCCTGAAGTGATGAGTAAGTCATCAACATACACCAACACAACTACAAATTTTGTTCCCTTCTTATTTGTGAATAATGAGAAATCATAGAGACTCTGAACATAGCCTGCATCCAGAAGAGTTTCAGTGAGTTTGAGGTTCCATTGTCTTGAAGCCTGCTTCAAGCCATACAAGGATTTCACTAACTAGCAAACTTTTGTCTTCCCCTGTCTTCTGAAGCCCTGAGGCAGTTCCATATGCACTTCTTCATATAGGTCTCCTTGGATAAATGCATTATGAACATCCATTTGATACATGTTCCATCCCTATGAGGCTACCACTGCAATGACTGCTCTCACAGTTACCATTTTGGCAATTGGTGAGAAGGTCTCATGATAATCTAGACCTTCCTTTTGATTGTACCCCTTGGCCACCAATCTAGTTTTGAATCTTTCAACTTCTCCATTTGCTTTGAACTTTATCTTGTACACCCATTTTGAGCCAATGGTGTTCTTTCCTTTAGGCAAGTCTATTATCTCCCAAGTTTTGTTATCTTCTAAGGCCTTAATCTCCAACTGCATTGCTTCCACCCATCTTTTGTCTTTAGATGCTTCTGCAAAACTCTGAGGTTCTGTCAGTGAAGAAATCTTTGCTACATATATTTGGCAAGATGTTGACAGCCTGCTATATGTTAAATGGTCTAATAGAGGATACAGTGTTGTTCCATTAGCCTTCTTTTGTGTGACATAATCCTTCAACCACAAAGGCTCTTAGACATTTCTGCTAGATCTTCTTGGTTCTTCACTTGTAAGGGCAGGTTCTATATCTGGTAATGTATCTACATCTTGTGGCAGGTACATTGCTTCATACTCTTCCTCACTTACAATGTCATGTAAGTCAGCTGTTGAGTCATATAAGTCTGGTGTCGTATTTGTTTCTCCTTGTGTATGCTCATTTGCTGCATGCCCATTCTGTACTTCCTCGGTAGGTCCATTATCCACGCTAGGAGTTGAATCCACTATTGGTGAGACTGCAGCTTCTTGTGGATGAGAAGTGGATGCAGGTTCAATGCCTTCAGGATCTTCTTGTAGGAAGTCATGATCAGCTGGAAATGGTTCATGATTAACCTGCACACTCCCCCTATCATGGACCATGGAATGTTTCCATAAGGAAGGCTGAACAAAAAAAAATAAGTGCTCCTTAAACACAACATCCCTGCAAACAAAAAACTGGTTAGTAGAAAGATCCAGCAGCTTGTAACCTTTCTGAGTTTCTGAGTACCCAAGATGGGCTGCTGGCTTGGCGCTTGCTGAGAATTTGTTTCCATGCACCAAAGTAGTAGCATAGCAGAGGCAACCAAATACTCTTAAATGGTTGAGTGAAGGTTGTGTATGATACAACAACTCATAAGGTGTTTTCCCATTCAAAATAATAGTAGGAAGCCAATTGATAAGGTACACAGCAGTAGTTATGCACTCTCCCCAATACCTAGTTGGCACATTAGCTTAAAATTTCAGTGCCCTTGTTGTGTCAAGGATGTATCTGTGTTTCCTTTCTACCCCCCCATTTTGTGGGGATGTGTATGCACAGCTACTTTGGTGTACTATACCATAGTGATCAAACAAGTTATTGCATTGTTTATTGAAAAATTCTCCTCCATTGTCTGTTCTAATGGTCTTAACAATTGCATTAAACTATGTTCTAAGCATAGAAGGAACTTCTGCAATGTTACTATAACATCAGTCTTTAACTGCAGCAAATGCGCCCAAGTATATCTTGAATGATCATCCACCGTGGTCAAGAAAAAATGCTTCCTATCATGTGTAAGGAACTTATAAGGACCCCAAACATCCATATGTAATAATAGCAAAGGACTGACACTTCTAGAACAACTTCTAGGAAAGACTAACCTACTTTGTTTAGCCAAAGGAAAAATTGAACAATCCGTATTTACGTTTAGGTCTACCGTTGCATGCTGAAAAGACTTGATATGCTTCATTGTGCTAACTGACGCATGTCCTAATCTCTACTGCCAAAGATGACCATCAAATTCTGGCTTTTGAGTAGTGGCTGCTGATATCTGCTGCAGTACTTTTGCTATGTGTGCATCCTTCGCTACATATAGACCTCCTTTTTCCTTACCAATCCTCCTTACTCTGCCACTCCAAAGGTCCTGAAATACACAGAAGTCAGGATAAAAATGAACTGAGCAGCAGAGTTCCTTTGTGAGTTTGGATACAAACAGAAAATTAAATTTGAAGTCTAGGACAAATAGCACATTTTTCACCTCCAAATCCTTAAGAATGATTGCACTACCAGTATGTGTAATGTCAGTTCTCTCACGAGTGGGCAATTGTACCTATTCTTTTTGTTCACCTTTCAACTTAGTTTTAGAATGCAATAAGTCGAATGAGGCATCTATGTGATGAGTTGCACCAGAATCAATTATCCACTCACTATTAGAACAATTAGCCATTAGAGATGTGGTAATACCTGCTATGTTTACTTGTGGTATAGAAGTATCCTTATACAGTATATTCAGTATTTGCATGTACTTATCCTCAATGAAGAAATGCCCTGCTACTTGATCACAGCTTGTTCCTTTTTCTCCATTCATCTGTGTCTGTTGTTCATGCTCAAAAACACTAGTAGCATTGTTAGCCACAACATGACTTTTTGCCTTAAAGTCCCCTGGATACCCTATCAATTTAAAGCAATTTTCCTTCAAATGCCTATTCTTATGGCAATAATCACATCTCATGAAAGGTTTCTTTTCTTTATAGGATTGTCCTTCACCAGCTTGCATGGCAATTGGCTCTCCTCTAGGAATTGTCCCTCGACCAGCCTGCATAACATTTACTTCTGCTTTAACAGTCAAGGCTGGATATGGGCTTGACCTCTGACTCTCATCTTCAATGATCAGAGCATAAGCCTGATTCAGTGTTGGTTCTGTTGTCTTCATTAGGATTTGTCTGCTTGCTAGATCATATAATTCATTGAGACCACTCAGAAATTGAAGCAACCTCTACTGATGAAGATGCACGATAAAATCCTTTGATTTCACACAGTCACATCCAGGTGAAGGCACCAAGGCATCATACTCTGACCATAACTCTTTCAGCTTTGTAAAATAGGTGTCCACAGAATCTGTTCCTTGTGAGATTGTTGCAATTTCTCTATGCAATTGGAAGATCCTTACACGATTAACCTTATCAAACCTCTCCTTTAAGTCCTTCCAAACTAAATGAGCATCAGTTGCATAAGCAATTCCACTAACTAGGTTCTGCGACACTGTATTCATGATCCAGGAGAAGACAATTGTATTGCATGTCTCCCATTCCTCATGTAATTCCTTCTTAAAGGAATCCTTTTTACAAGTACCAGTCACGAACCCTAATTTCCGCTTAGCTAGAAGTGCAATTCGCAGCGTTCTCTGCCACAATCCATACTTTTCAGATCCTGTGAGTTGAATTGGAATCAAAACTGAACTCGGCGTGTCAGAAGGATGAAGGAATAGTGGATCAGTGTGATCGATCTTATCATCTCCCATTGTTAAGCTTAAGAGGAAGAGCAATTACTAGAATTGACGATAAACTTGCACTGCCCGTGTACTCCAAGTCACGACTGCTTTGATACCATGTGAGTTGAGCTTCAGTTGAGCTAGGTCATGAACTCCATTAATGGAGCAATGTAGCAGTAGCGTGCAAGGAAGAAGGAAGAGAGAGAGATGAAGAAAAGATTTTCTGTATATTCATTTGGGTATCAATAATACATACAACCTATGTACTTATAGACACAACTAACCTCTACTTAATTAAACTAAGAACACTAACTATTGGTAACTAATTCTAACAGCATCGACTAACTCTGCCAGCTGGCCTAACTAACTTGACAACTGGCTCATTACTTAGCACTACACAGTCGACTTATTCATTCTCACATTTGGAAGCTTTGTTTTGAATTTAGATCATTTGGAGCATATTCGGGGTCGTTTGATCGAAATTGAAATTGTAAATTCGAAGAATATTTTGTTAAAACAACACAAAAAAATTATATCAATCGGATAAACTTCGATAGAAATATTATATCAATCGGATAAATTTTGATGAACAACTTAATAGACAGGTAAGTAAATATAGCATAAACTCTACCAATTCAGTACAGCAATCCCTGAAGAGTAATACATGTCAACCTGGTACTTGATGAACAACTTAATATATTGGTAGAGTAAATATAACATAAGCTCTACCGATCCGGTAAAGAAACGTTGAAGTGCAATAATTGTGTGCGACTCAGGTGCCATTTTTTAAATACCGCTAATTTTAGGACATTCGGGTGAGACCAACCTCTTATGGGGTCTTTCCTGTCAATCACCCTATTATGATCAATTATAAGTTTATCTTTTAAGTGACTAATTAATTATAAAAATTTATACAAAAACTAATGCGTTTATAGAAGTTAAACTCGTCCAGAAACAAAGAATGGATCAATGGAATAACAAAAATGGAAAGAAAATGCTTATTTTTGGTATAGTACAGTCCCCTGTATTTCGCGGGTCCGATAGGTAAAACGATTTTTTCTCGTTTCATTTTCCTCGTAAAGCAGCAAATGCCAACTTACGTAATCAAGATTCGTCCATCTTCTTCCCCCCACGAGCATTTGATTCTACCTCAGGTTTGTTACATCCTTTACCAATGTCCACAAATCTTCTAATTAATTAACATCATGTGATTATCACATAAAAGTGCACCTGAAATTTATTGAATCTCAATCTGCATGCAAATCATATTGACACCACATTGTCTTTTATTATTATTTTTCTGGCATTGATGTTTTGGTTTGTGAAATGAAGGTATAATTGATCTTGTGCTCAGTGGGGATTGATTTGAAAAAAGCACCAAAATTAAGAAAAATGTCTGGTTTTGTTGGTGTTGTTGTTTCTGATCAATGGCTTCAGAGCCAATTCACCCAAGTCGAGCTTCGTGGCCTCCATTCCAAAGTATGTTTAATATTCTGTTCTTTAATTTGAGTCAGATAATGCAGTTTGTTAAAAGGGTGACCTTTTTTTTACTGCTGGAAATACATATTTTTGTTGTAATATGTTAGCTGAAATTTGGTTTACAGTATGTTTCTGCGAGGAATGAATCTGGAAAGGTCACACTGGGAGATCTGCCGCACGTTATGTGCAAACTTAAGGCCTTCAAAGATATTCTTACTGAGGATGACATTAGCCACATATTAAGCGAGTCATCTTCTGATATGACTGAAGAAATCGATTTTGAATCCTTTCTTCGGGTGAGTTCCACACAATTTCATCGCGTACTTGTAGTAATTTCTTCGTTCTCTAACGTTTTCTAGCAATGTATTTGGTATTCAAACGGAATGAATTACAAACTTAGCTTTAAAGAATAGCTGAGGGTCTATCGGAAACAGTCTCGCTACCTTCACAAGGTAAGGGTAAGATCTGCGTACACACTACACTCCTCAGACCCCAATTGTGGGATTACACAGTGTTTGTTGTTGTTGTTGCTTTAAAGAATAGCTGAATAAATAAACTTCAAATGTCATAAAGTTCATGGTTCTAATTTACTCTGACATGTTTGGCTTTCATCTTCGTTGCATCGTTATTTCAAGGACGAGTAAAAGCAATGAGCCTATCAACCTGGCTTAAGATGAAGTTCTCTTGTACCTTACTTGGTTATCCTGTTATTTTCTTATCTTTCTTGATGTGCTTCTCATAAGTTCTGTGTCAACTGAAGTGATGGAAAAGATGTAACTATATATATGTGTTTTATATGGCTAGGCGTATCTAGATTTACAAGGACGAGCTACTGCTAAATTGGGTAATACAAAATTAAAAACGTCGTCCTCATTCCTCAAGGCCAGAACCACCACAATTCGTCACAACATTAGTGAATCTGAAAAGACTTCATATGTTGCCCACATCAATAGCTTTCTCAGAGATGACAAGTTTTTGAAGGATTATCTTCCTATTGATCCATCTACCAATGCACTCTTTGATCTGGCGAAAGATGGTGTTCTTCTATGGTAAGTGTTAAGGATGCAACATACAATGATTCTGTCTGGGATATTCTTGTTTCGCTTAATTATTTCACTGGCATGTTTGTTGATTCATTTACTAAACCATGTAATGCAGTAAGCTTATCAATGTTGCTGTCCCTGGTACTATAGATGAGCGCGCTATTAATACCAAAAAGGTTCTTAATCCGTGGGAGAGGAATGAGAACCACACTCTTTGCCTCAATTCCGCCAAGGCAATCGGTTGCACAGTGGTCAATATTGGCACCCAGGATTTAGTTGAAGCAAGAGTATGTGAAATCTGCGCAAGTTATACATTACAGTAGTTTTGGGACACAAAAATTATAATTATCAATATTATAGCTGCTGAAGTTTCTTGTGTTTTTTGTTCTCTTAGCCTCATCTGGTTGTTGGGCTGATTTCTCAAATTATCAAGGTATTTTTCTACTATTATACGTGTTCCATATGTTGGTCATGCAACAGGAATTGTTACTCATATTATTTTTGATCTTGTTTTGAAATATCAGATACAACTATTAGCTGATCTCAATTTGAAGAAAACTCCGCAACTTGTGGAATTGGTGGAGGACAGCAAGGTTGCTAATAGTTGATTGGTTTTCCTGTTTTGGTTCTAATGTTGCACCTCCTGGTCACCGGTAAAGTTGCTGCCATGTGATCAGGAGGTCACGGGTTCGAGTCGTGGAAACAGCCTCTTGCAGAAATGCAGAGTAAGGCTACGTACAATAGACCTTTATGGTCCGGCCCTTCCCCGGACCCCGCGCATAGCGGGAGCTTAGTGCATCAGTCTGCTCTTTGTTCTATTGTTGCACGTTGAAATTTATGCTAGATTAAATTTTAGCTGTAAAATTTGCAGGATGTGGAGGAGCTCTTGGGTTTGCCTCCAGAAAAGGTTTTACTGAAATGGATGAACTTCCATCTAAAGAAAGCAGGCTATAAGAAGCAAGTCAATAATTTTTCATCTGATTTAAAGGTGAGATAGTTCTAAAAGTTCGATGTCATATTAACTTTTTAGAAAGTGGTAGCATTACATTTCAAAGGAGATTTTTCATTTCCTAAATATGAAGTTTACACTTACACTGCAGGACGGAGAGGCCTATGCTCATTTGTTGAATGTTCTTGCACCTGAACATGGTACAACCACCACACTAGATGCTAAAGATCCAACTGAAAGAGCAAATTTGATTCTTGAGCAAGCAGAGAAAATGGATTGCAAAAGATATGTTACTCCACAAGACATTGTAGAGGGATCCACAAACTTAAATCTTGCATTTGTTGCACAAATATTCCAACACAGGTCAGTCTAAGAAGTTCTTTTCCATAGACCAATTATTTGAAATTTCTCTCTTTAAGTTAATAATGTGGAAAATGTTGATACATCCAATATAATTTTTTAGTTTCTTAATTTTATAGTCAAATTTCATAGCAAAGGATATAAGGAGAAAAAAAAATTCCTCAAGATGAAAATTGAGCTAAATTAAGCCAACTCTCAAGTCAGCTTAGTCTTTGTTAAAGTTCTGCAGTAATGTGCAGTCTAGACTAAGACATGGAATATGAGGCTTGTTTTCCTACTTAACTTATCAGTCGACCGAGTCATGTATACTTTAGCGTGTAATGACATTATATTATTCCAATTTGCATTTTTATGGAGCCTAGGGACTAGGGTTCAATGACTCTGTTCATTCGTAAATTCTTGCTTCTTTAATGTCTTTTCATTTAGTTTCTTCAATAGCATTACATATGTTTGTGCAGTTGTCTATAAATCCATGATGGATATTCGTAGCATGTCTGAAACTGAACTCTAATATGATCAAAAGTTGTGTGATGAATGTTGATGCGGCTGCAACGTGTTAGTTCTGTCAATTTAGTCTTCCAATTAGCGACAAGGATGCTCATAGCAAATATATAAGCATGTCGATTCAGTAGTGAATGTTTCTACTTCTAAGTGAAACTTTTCTAGAAAAAATATATGAGACTATGAAAGCACATATATTGAATGAATGATTATGTGAACCTAGTTTTATGCACTTGATGCATTTGATGAATATTAAAATAATCTAGTTGTTTTCCCTGGAATTAATGCTTGTAGACAACTACAAGATATGCGTAGATGTAATATTCTTGATTTCTGTATGATGGTTTTATACTTCACTGCATCTTTCGCTTGTTTTTAGTAAAATATTTATTAGAAATCGCTGATGATCTTAGAGTAATTAACATGCTAATGTTTATGCTTAGTGTAGTTCATAATGGTGTACTTTCCCATCTATAAAAGAGTCCTCTTTTTACTGTGATCTAGGAATGGATTGTCAGTGGACACGAAGAAAATATCTTTTGCTGAGATGATGGAAGATGATGCTCAAACATCTCGAGAAGAAAGATGCTTCCGGTTGTGGATGAATAGCCTTGGAATTGATACTTACATAAACAATCTATTTGAGGATGTGCGAGCAGGGTTAGTGTTCATTGTTTCTTTGATGAATATTATTAGACTTCATAAATATTATTTGTTGATAATACTCTTATGCACAGGTGGGTGCTACTGGAGGTACTCGACAAGATTTCGCCAGGATCAGTCAACTGGAAGCAAGCAACAAAACCCCCTATTAAGATGCCTTTTAGGAAAGTTGAGAATTGCAACCAAGTCATAAGGATTGGAAAAGAACTGAATTTCTCCCTTGTCAATGTAGCTGGAAATGATATTGTACAAGGAAACAAAAAGCTCATATTAGGTAATTTTCTATCAAACGCAGGAGTGGCTCTAGGGTAAGGTCACTAAAGCTTTTGCTTTAGGCCCCCAAAACTTTTTCTATTAGTTTTAATTATTTATATTAGTAAGGTTTTTTAAGTTAATAAAACATTAACATTTTGTCACAATACACTACGTTGGTTCTAGACTTCTAGTTATCAAATATTTTATTACTATTTTAACTCAAATTTGTAAAATATTAGATAATGTCATACAGTGGAATACTTAAAACCTTGAAAGAAAATTTGTTAAAACCATACAATTTTTTCTTGGTTATCTAAATTAATCATGTCTATTTTTTCAACCGTTGTCACGTTACTAATGTTATTTACTCACATCTTAAATTTTTGCTTTAGGTCTCCGATTTCATTGAGCCACCCTAGCTTTACGTCCCAATGTAGCTAAACTTTCCTCGTTTTGACATATCATGCCCAGAATATCCCCCGGAGTAAACAAATATGGGGCATTTCCCTATGATCACATGCAATTATCTTGTTTCATTATATGTACTCCTTCCATTGCAAATTCGTACATTTACAGTTTAGTAGTCCTCCAACATCTGTGTTCATTTTCCAAAAGTAGAAAAGCTTTCACACTTCTTATCGAGCACAAGGGTCACTTAATGCTTACTTTTCCACTCCATCTTCTTAAAACTATTATTAATTTATAAATTATATAAGGTAACATAAGTTCTCTTAGCAATGCTTTGGCTTTTGACCTTTCAGAGTTCCTGATTCAAAACATTGAACAGTCGACAAGGTGAATGAGTGTCTGGATACTAAGTTCGAAGTGTTGAATAGCTTTAAAATTATAATATTATTAAGTTTGTCATTGTTAACCAATGCTGATTCGTGTTTTGATTTGATTTATTATTCATCCTGATGTGTGTTCGCGCAAAAAAAATTCAGAGTTTCCAAAATACAGGGAGTATGAGCATCTGATGTGAACTTCATTTTCATGCTTAAATTTTAAAGAGCTTACTTTGTTAATATGCAAAGTAGATTGTTTATAGTGAAGATGATAAATATTACTCCTACAAACATTTGGTAATTTGCCCTCGAAATTATCTAGCCGTTATTAGTTATTCTATTCTTAGAGAAGTAAACGATTCATTTTCTGTTTTCAGCCTTTTTGTGGCAGCTAATGAGGTTTACAATGCTGCAACTGTTGAAGAACTTGAGGTTTCATGCCCAAGGAAAGGAGATAACAGATGCTGACATCTTAAATTGGGCAAACAGTAAAGTGAAGAGTGCAGGCAGAAAATCACAAATGGAAAGCTTCAAGGTGATGAAGAAAGCATCAATTACTAATATATCTGTTTCTAATTTCACGACGTCTGAGTTTTCTGTTTTGTTTTGTTAGGACAAAAGTCTATCAAATGGGATGTTCTTCCTAGAACTTCTTAGTGCAGTGGAGCCAAGGGTCGTGAATTGGAGCGTTGTAACTAAGGGAGAAACAGGTACACACTTGAAAGATTCAGAAATAGAAGATTCAGTATATCCTCACCTTGTTCCCCAGTGAAAAGATCATGGCAATTGGAAAACTTGGAAGAATATATTTTCTTCTCTTTTTGGCTGTGATTAAATGATCTGAACAACCTTTTTCTTTGGGCTTCATAAAAATGCTGATGATTCTTGATTGCAATTGCAGACGAAGATAAGAAGCTTAATGCAACTTATATAATCAGTGTTGCGCGGAAACTTGGATGCTCCATCTTTTTATTGCCAGAGGATATAATTGAGGTACCATATGATATAACGAACTGCTTTCTTGTACCTGCAATTTTCATATAGACTAGATGCTCATTATCTGGTTAAAGGCTTCATTTTGTTGCAATTAAGTGCTTCCATTACAGATGTCAGGGGTTTAATTATGCTGCTATGCTATAATGTAATAGAGCAGTGGTTATACATTCAAACATGCCATATCGTGCAGACAAGTTATATTGAATGCTACAACTCAGATTCATTCAGAATAACTCTTCCAATGAATCGCATGAAAATCAATTTAGACAGACCTATGAGATTAGTGATAAATAATTTGGATTTTTATTTAGCATTACATATCAAGAATGAGATGTTTGCAATTCTACTAACACTTTAGGGCCTTATTGATACAACTAAAACCCGAACATTAAAGTTCGAACATTCTTTTTTAGCGCCAAAAAAGGAAATTGCTATAAAGCAAAGTGGCATTTTGTAGAAGCTACGATTTCTACCAAAATGCCACTTTTCTTGCTATGAAATCATAGCTTCCACGCAATAATATGGTGTTTGCATCTTAGCAATTTTCTTCATTTCTTGTCTATGAAATCTTAGCTTTCAAAGAATGGTATGGTGTTTGCATCTCATGTCTGCCAAAGATTCAACAGACAGCCTTTTGTGCTGAAGAACAACATACATATTTTTATCTTCTTTTCCTTGACATGTTATTGACTTTGGCAAACAGGTAAACCAGAAGATGATCCTTACTCTCACAGCAAGCATCATGTTTTGGAGCTTGCAACACAAAGGTGGAACGCCAGAGACCATCCTTGAAGAAGACAGTGCTGCTTCCGATGAATCTCCAGCAGCAGCCGCTGATGGTGAGAATGCTTCTTCCTAAGTCAGAAATGGAGCAGCAACAAGACAGATAGAATTTCATGAAAATAAATAGATAACATCGTTCATATTGTCACTCATGGGTGGGAATGCTTCTTCTGATTTGGTCCTCAGCCTTTGTTTTCAAGAGGACAAATCTCATATAGTTGGTCAATATGTCTTGTCAATTACCTATATAATTTGTTTAGTCGCTACTATTTATCACCACAAAGTGGTTAGGGTGGTAAAAGGGAAGAAAAAAGCAACTGTATATTTTTTTTTCAGAATCTTTAGGCTCCCTGGATTTAACAGAATACCAGGGATTTCAAATAGACAGCTATTGTGTTTCCTTAATGAAACTGATATGAGATGTGAATGTCAGTCTCACCGTCTGAGATTTTTAAAAGGGATCTTTACATAAATAGCCGGCCGGATTTACTATTCTTTTTCTAACATGTATACATAGATTATACTCTAATTATACGGTTATACATATATTATTCATCCGCCGACTATTTTAGTTTAAACAATTGAATGAGTGGCTATTAGGTTAATTCTTCTTTTTTGAAAGCCAGTTTCAATGGATTTCAGATCCTTTTACTTCAGGCATAATTAAAGTCCTTCAAATATTTGTTCTATCACTAAGAACAACATTATGGGTCCGGAATTCCGTTTCTGGGTAAAATATGAAAAAATATTAAAGAACACAGTTTCAAGACTCAAGCAATTATCCTACTGTTTATTTATGTAGATTGGTCCTCTGGTCAAGTACAATTCCATGGATCAGGTCGTTAAAAGGAATTAAAAGAATAAGAAAAAAGACATTGTTCCAATCGCTAACAGGGGAAGAACTTCACATATAAGATCACTTTTATTTCCTGCTGTAAAATCTTCCTTTGCTACATTAACAAACGGCACATCTATAAGATTCAAAAAATAGAAAAAATAAAATTCATACGAGTTCTTGTTCATTTGGTACAACTACTGAAAATGACACGACATTACTTGCGTTACAATCAAGTCCATCAGCTTTTTCTTGTTCTGCAATATGCATGAGCATCTCAAGGCGCTTGTCAAAAAGTAATGCGCTCTCGTCTCTCTCATCAAGTTCAGCAGCTTCAGCTTCGAGCCATTTCTCTCGCAGATCATCCAACACATTTCCTTCAGCTGTGTTCATCTCAGCTCCAGGAGCACTCGGGGCAGTAGTACGGAGTGAGGAATCACCAGATGGTGGTGGGAGGGTCAAAAGCATTGCCCTAAACTCTTGAGTATCCGCAAATGTCTCAAAATTACATGCCATTGTGTCTAGACAATACTCCCGAATCTTAAAAACACCATACCTAAAAGTAAAAAACATAAGAACTTAGACTAATTAAGCAAAATTATACAGCGGAAATAGCCGCGAGACACGGTCTTAGATTGGAGCATTCTCTTTTAGATCTCCTATAATTCATCTAATATTTACAGACTGGAGAAACAGCACCCTAGCTACTTTCTCTTATATGACAGGCTTGGATACTGAGCCTTTTCCAAGATGCCACGCCAAATGACACAGGAATAAATTTCCTTTTGTTAACCAAGTCCACGATAGGCTTGGATCAAATTGATCATATGACATGTCACCATCACGCAAAAGCTTCCTAAATGTATTTCATACATCTCCTGCTGATTCAAGATCATCTCATATCTCCATATCGGGAGAGAACTTTCAAAAGACCACACTGGAAAAATGCCTATGAGTGTGATACATTAAGCAGAACCAGAACCAACATGCTAGTGCTCAGAAGCTAATGACGTTGGAGAGTTTTTATTTTATTTTGAGTTAATACCCTATAATCTCCCTAAACTATCAAGTTTTTGTCAGTTTCCTACTTAAACTATTCGGTGTCCCCAAAACCCCCCTAAACTATATTGCCCTTCATATTAAAAACCCCTCATTGCATTCTTCGAGGTGCGTCTAGTACACGCTCCTAATTGTCTAAAAAACGTGCTATGTAGCACTACACGTGGCTATTTAACTCAGCCTAAAACCCGCCTAAACTATCATCTTTTGGTCAGTTACCTATTTAAACTATCTGGTGTCCCCAAGATCTCCTTGAACTATATTCCCCTATATATTAAAACCCCATGTTGGACTTTTAATGGTACGTTTGTCTAACTATATTAACTTATGGTTTGTACAAAGTTTTTAGATAGTTTACTCATGATGTATTACTCTCGAATGATTGATTAATTCTAGGAGTTTTGACCAAAATACTATCTAATGTACTGTGTTAATTTTAGGTTTAATTGTGATTGTGCTTTATGCTAGACTCCAATTAATAAGTCCTTATTTATATTCACTTTGTAGCACAGTTAAAATATAAATAAAGTCATATAGTGTTGTATTTCTTAAAAGTCATCTTATATTACATAAAAAAGATTACACAAAATAAAATTTTGCAAATAAAAAATCAATTGCCCAGCAATTACATTCTCTAATTCCAGATTAGATAAAGAAGGTTCAAGAGATTTAACTTTATTTTTTACAAGGTGCTGAATTTAATAAGAAAATTTAAATTGGTATTCTTTCAACAATATGTGTAAGACATGAAAGAAGACTAAAACAAAAAAGAAAAAAAATAATTTCAAAGGAAACAAGAGAGGGAGAAATTTTTTAAGAGGAAATCCATACGGAGAACTGAAGAAAAAAGGTTAAAAAATGAAGAAGGTGAAAAACAAAGAAGAAAGGTGAAAAAATAAGGAACAACAACAACAACAACAACAACCACCCAGTATAATCCCACTAGTGGGGTTTGAGGAGGGTAGTGTGTACGCAGACCTTACCCCTACCATGAGGTAGAGAGGCTGTTTCCAATTGACCCTCGGCATCCTTCCCTCCAAGAACTTCCCACCATGCTCTTGGGGTGAAAAAATAAGGAAGAATGGTGAAAAATGAGGAAGAAAGATGGATATAACTGAAATACGGAGAATATTTATTAAAAAAATAAATTTGAAAGAGGGTTAGACTAATTAACCATTATTTTCTGTTAGGTGGGCCATTTGGATGTCTTTTTTTCAGCTACCACGCGCTCCCAAGCGAGTATCTACACATGTTATGCCAGGTCAGCGACGAGGGGGTTTTAATACGAGCGGCAATATAGTTCGGGGGTTTGGGGACACCGAATAGTTTAAGTAGGAAACTGACAAAAATGTGATAGTTTAAGGGGGTTTTAGGATATTAACTCTTTTATTTTTAATGTTTCTTGATAAGAATGTTGGAGAGTTTATTTCTCCAGGATTAAGTCACAACTGATTCTGATTTTTACGAGGTAGCTTTTTTTCTTTTCCATAAACCAAATGTTAGGAGCTTGGGAGCAGTTACCATAATGTTATTCTCAGTTTTTAATGCATATTACACTAACTCTTGCTCTTCCAGCTAGACAGTATTAGATGATTAATGACAGGACTACAACACCAAATCAAACTTACATACAGGAATTTTAGCTGTCAGTTTAAACATCCAAAAAGGTTGATTAGAATATGGTGATAATCCACAACCAAAGAGATTAAAAAAATTCCTAAACAAGGAATATGACTGAAGAAGACAGATAGCACATACATGTCTGATAATACCAGCCAATGGCACAACTCAGCAGGAGGAACCATTTCCAAATGTGGCAGCAGTGCATCTGCTACGACACGTTTAAGTGGAAACAACAGGTACCTCGAAGCAGCATCAAACATCTCTTCAGCCTGATAAGATTACGTGCATCATAAATTAAACTATGTGAGCAATCAACGCAGTGGAGAAAGAGACAGAATTTCCTATTCCTTAGAAGGATAGCTATTCTACAATTAGAAATTCAAACAGCATACTTGATCAGGGTCAATGTCCTTTAATCCATCAGTATACCTGGTCAACAAAAATATGATTTTGTTAGCAAGAGGTTGAAGATGAAACAAGCGCAGCTGAAAGCCAAGTCATATGAGTCACATCAAAGCGAGTTTGTGAGTCATACAGGTTATCAGTGAAAGGTACAATCACATCAATGCTGTTGATGATGCATGCAACAGACACATACTGCAATACAGCAGAGTAACTCAAGTTCCTTTTTCTTTTTCTATTTTTTNACGATAACTTACATATACTCTATCATTTTCTCAAAAGCTCCAACGGTCAAATCATGTTCCTCAATGCATGGAAGTGCATTATCAGGTAAATGATCTCTCCCTTCCGGAAAATCCTTCATCCGTGACAACCTCGCTTTAAAATATTCAGACCTTGATGCTAAGACGACTTGATGGCAACGAAAGATCTTCTTATCAACTCTGACACAAACATCTGCCAGATCATCTTCATACTCACTCATCTGCATTGAACTGACAAGGCATACAAGACCATCAACATCAAGATTCAAGTTCTGTTCTCTGTTGGAATTCACAAGAGAAATTTGAAGGATTTTATGCAAAGCATTTGGAAGACGGTCCCCTTCTGGGAGAGAGATTCCCTGCAAGATGAACCGCTTTTGGGAGTTATCCACATCCCTTAGTGCTTTGTACTCTGCATATTTTTGATGAATCAATTCTTTCTCGAGGACTTTCTGTAGTGAATGGCATTTGCAAACTTTGCAAATTCTGACAAGATCTTCCATGTCATCTACTGCTATATCAAGTCTATCGGAATAAAAGAAGTGGACGAGGCTATAAAGAGCATGATAAGACAGTTTTTCCCTAGAGAACCGTATTTCCTTTCTATCCTTCCACTCAGTCTGAAATTTCTTTTTGAAGAAAGGCGACCGCGCAGTCAAGATTACTCTGTGAGCTTCAATAGGCCTACCATGCGCATAGAATACAACATCCGGAGGGAAGTGGCTGAGGCTGGATCCTCCATTTGCTAAATTACCTATTAATTATCCCAGACCACCATGTCATTTTTGAGTGCATGAAGACAATCTGGACAAAGAATCAGAGAGTGTGATATATGCATACAGCTAAAGAACCAAAGTAGAATATCCAGTGAATCCCAAATTTTTGATTAGCTCATGTAAGAAAAGAGTAAGCAAGATAAAAACACCATTACAAAAAGTCATGAGTTCCCTATCATTGGAAGATCTAATAAGTACAATCTATTCACTTATACAATCACGGATAACGCAAGAGGCTTCACCAGGCCTATAGTGAGAGCAGAAGTCATTCACAAGCCAAGGTTGAGTGATCAAATTCTGTGTCTAAAGATTCAATACCAGAATAGAACAGTAATACAATGGAAAACTGAAGTACAGATGAAACACATGAAGAGATTTATGATTATTACACTATCATAGTGCAATAGCTAGTCAGGAAGTCATATTAGCAGACTGTGTATTTATTTTTCACTTCTGGTAGCCTAGGTATTTCTTCCCACGTACTAAGATTCCCAAGTAGCAAGGATTCTGAATTCAAACCCAAATTCCTGTAAATAGTGGTTTCTCAGCCTTCTAAGTAAACTTTCTTTTAAAAAACAATAATTAGCTTTCTACACCCAGTAATTCTGTGACGTAATTACAAGACAGAAGCAATTACAAGGAGGCTGCATTAAGAATGGTGTAATGAGCTCAAAAAGGTCAACCATGGCATCAATGTCATTTGCAATAGCCATGTTGAACCAAAAAAAGAGTGAAGATATGCATCTGTATTTAATACTATTTACAGATTCTGATTTACTCTAAAAATTCTTGCATTCCTTTCTTTCCATATAGTCCACCATATCACCGAAGGGATGGAGTTCCAAGTTTTCCTCTTTGCCTTGTTTCTACAGAGACTCTCTTATAAGTGGGTGAAGGAAATATTCGGGACAGTTCTTCCCATATTAGTATGTCTTGAAGTGCTCGAATATCATTGTTTAGAAATTAAAAGTCAACGGATATTAAAGACAAGCAGATTAAACTTCAATCCTACAATGGGTTCTAAAGTCCTTCACCTAAATGAGCTGGTCAGTTCCCATAAAAGCCCTGTACTCCATACTTCAATCTCAAAGTTAGACCATTTTCCCTTCCTCCAGTGGCGGATATTATCTCTAAGGCATTTCTACTTCTTGTACATAAGAAAAGAAAATACTGTGCCTCAAACTATTTGGGACTGATGCATATCAGTTGTTGTGGTAAAAAGAACACACTTTATCCAGTTTCTATAGCAGATCCTTTGTGCTACTTTATAAAATTACTTTACATTCTCAACACACACACACACACACACACACACACACACACACACACACACACACACACACACACACACACACACACACACACACACATATGGATAACCAAAGATAATCAAATTCAGTACTATTTACAAAGAATAAGCAAGAATATAAAGCTCAATATGTCCACATACCCGAAATAGGGATTTGACCTTCAGATTGTTCCAAATAGTTCCTATTAGCCCAACAAGCCAAAAAGGTATCTCTTAAAGCAGCTTGCAAAGGGCCAAGCGGCGGAGGACGAGCTTCAAAGGCTTTAAGCAATTTCCTAACTTTAAGATTAAGGGCAGCGTAATGGCAACGGTCACCATCAAAAGTATGTTCAGAACAAATAGCACCACTCTCCAATAACATTCGGGCAGCGTCAAGGTGACCGGCAAGACAAGCATAATAAAGTGCCACTGAATCCCATTGGTCTCTCGCATTCACGTTCACACCTAACTCTAAAAGGTACTTTAGCCGGTCGACGTCACCGGCTCTTGACGCTTCGAAAACGTCGCCGTATGGGACTTTTTTTAACGGTAGACATGACTTGAAATCCTCAGGGTTTAAGTCTATGTCGTCGAGGTCAGACATAGTAGTGAAAGCGTGTGTAGACATGACTTTGAGGTTGTTATTGTATGAATTGGGATTTTCAATTTGAGGGGTTTGGTTTGGAATTGTTGGAGTGGAGGAAGAAAACGGGTAGTTACAAAGATTGAGGAATGAAGCTATGGCGTTGGAAAATGACGAAAGTTTGTAGCAGAAAGAAGTAAAGGATTGACAAGGAGAACATGGGAAAATGTAGAGTGGGGTCGGTTTATGGCTCTAAGCCTGTACCCTTCGTTAATTGTCGTATATTTTTATTTTTAACCCGCGCCAAAAACTATTTACCTCTAATAGCCAAAAAACTATATTTTTGAATAGCCTCCGTTCACTTTTACTCCACTATTCTAAAAATATATTTTCACTTTTACTTGTCCACTTTTGCATATAAAGAGAAAAATAATTTATTTTTTCTGTTTTGCCCTTAGCATTAGTCACTCATTTCAAATCTATTAAGAGTATACACCAATTAATATGGGTATCATGGCAAACTATGCACTTTATTTATTATTTCTTAAGGGGCGTATAAAGTGAATAGTGAACAAGTAAAAGTGAACGGAGGGAGTACAAAAAATATACAAATTTTATACATTTTTCTGTTATTATTTTTTCAACGGCTATATAGTGCCATTTTTTCTTAATCGTTTTGCGTGGACCGGTCGACTTCTTCAGAAATTTTCATAAACCACTATTCTTTAGTGTCTATTAATTTCATATAGCTACCATATATATAATTACTTCCTATAGCTACTGTTTAGTTGTTACGGTAGTGTATTCACATGTATTCGTGTTGTTGTATTCATGAATACAGCAGCAAAAGTGCCTAAAATTAGTGCAGTCCAGCTGTACGCGCATGTGTTCACATATATTCGCGACATGTATTCATGAATACAATAGTAAAAAGCGCCTAAAATTAAGGCAGTCCAACTGTACGCGCATGTATTCACGGTGTTGTATTCATGAATACAGCAGTAAAAAACGCCTAAAATCACGGCAGTCTAGCTGTATGCACATGTATTCGCGCCATGTATTCATGAATACAGCAGCAAAAAGTGCTTAAAATCAGGGGAACGCGTATGTATTCACATGTATTCGTGCTTTTGTATTCATGAATACAGCTGTACGCGCATGTATTCACATGTATTCGCGCCATGTATTCATGAATACAGTAACGGCAATCCCTTAAAAATAGGTATGTCCAGCTGTCTAAGAGAGAGAAAAAACATAAATAGCGTATTTCATGCCTTATTTCATGCCTCAATGATAGTATATACCATAAAATACTTATTTTGCTATAAAATATAAAAGATAGCTATAGAAAATAATATTTTAAAATGATTTTAGTTTATAATAAATAGGGTGTATACCTTTGTTATAGGAGGTAAAATTTTCTTTTTCAAATAATAGGGTGTTTTGCACAAATAGGATCATTCACTTAAAGTCTTGAGAAAATAGCCTCGGCTAAAATCGTAAAGCACGTTAGTTCGACTTGTGGGCTTCGATCTGTCATAGTGATTCAAAATAATAGCAAAAAAAAAAATATTTTTTGTATATACATACATTCTGTATGTTATATATAAAAATTATACAAATTTTATATATTTTTTTGGCTACTGAATTAAATAGTTTCCAACACATGCTAAAAATGATAATACCCCATTACAGTATAGCCAGCATTTGCAAATAGTTAAAAAATAAAAAATAATCACAACTTAAGACGGCAAAATAGTTAAAATAAACACATGAACTTCAATAAATTTTCCCAAAGTGCAAACTGCAAGTAAAACTTGAGAACAATATCCTGAAATTCGAAAGTTATACAAGTAATTCTGCTGCTAATGAAACTCTAGGACAATGTCTGAAAATTTAAAACTTATATAAATAAAACTTGAGGACAATTTTGTTTCATAATTGCTCTATTTCTCGTTCTTAACAAATATTAATAAATGAAAAATATGTAAATTTGGAGTTGCTCAATCTCTTTTTTTTTCATTCGTTTCTTGTATGTGCAAAGAAGTAGAACAAGTGGAAAAACAAGTGACGGAGAAGAAGAAGAAGCCAATGTCTGCCGCTTTTTTTTAAGTTGTGTTATTTTTCAATTACTTTGCTAACACTGAATATATATATATNTTAGGTTTTATTTAAAAAAGAATTATCGGCCACCTAAAGAAAAAGCTTTCAATTTTTGAAAAAAAAAATTAGAAACTTCTTAAAGAAAAATAAGAAGCTCATGAAAATCAAGTAACGATTCCAAGAATATCAGGAGCTTCCCACATTTGCGCATCATAAAAGGACATGTACTTCTAGCTTTCCAGATATGCGACATAAAACTTCACGCAGTTTAGGTGCCGCACCCATGTCGACACGACACTAATATGAGTATGGGTACGGATTTGGTTAAACAATTTTGGGTACTTTGACCACGACGAACGAAAAAATTCGATACGAAATACAATTTGATTCTGATTCGAAATACAATTTGATTCCTGGAATCAGAACCAAAACTAGATTAAATTTGAAGAAAATAGCATACCTTATTTAGAAAATCAATCATTTACTTATCTGCGACTTGAGAATAAAAAAGAAATCCACTTCACAAAATTTCTCATAATTTAAATATATTTTTATATTTTTAATTTTTTAAAATAATTTTAGCCGAATCTCCGCATCCGTTCTAGGATCCGTATCCACGAATCTTAGAATTTACATCTCGAAGGATCCGACCACTAGATCCGCACTTGTGTCCGAGCAACTTAGGTTTTATAGAATCAGGATAGGATTTAACAATCAAACAAAGCTGAGGCACCAAATAAAGAGAAACTACTACTAAGTTACGCAAATTAGGACTGGCTTTTCCAAAATCAGCATGGACTTTCCTCTTACTATATATAAATTTGGCTCAACAAAATGAGAATTTGCAGTGTATTTGGGAACGATTTTAATAGCAGAGAGGGAAAGAATAAAGAATAAAGGAGAACTAGAATACAACAACATTTCAGATTAATTTACACTTCTGAAACCTACAACTTAATAAACATGCATACTCTCTCCAAGCCGCGGTCTTTGCTCATTGTTTTGTGAGCAAGAGTTTGATCTCCTAGCAAGGGCAGCACGCCCTGCCACAGATACGTTATACAGATGCTACATCTACTAAGTTTCCACATAAAACTACCGTTTTTCATCTGGATTTAGAGAATTTAATCGTCTTGATCTCTGGTCCAGCTCTGCCATTACCGCTGGTTCCTGCTTTTTCCTCTGTTTCGATATAGTAGTGGTTGTCATAAACCCAACTTTATCAAAAGCAACCTGAGAAAATGGTAAAGAAATGATTCACTACAGAGTTTAACCATCTACCTGAAATTAGACTATGCCCATGCCACGACTGAGTTAGTGGTCTTATAGAAGACAAATATGTATCAAAATTTCAAGAATATTATGATTTTCTTAAGTAACATCATGCATCTTAATTCAGAACACTGAATCACGTATGCAACATTTGGGTCAACGCGCTAGATGGATACTTATCCACATGAGCGTAAGACAATAACAGAGTCTAGTGAGAACATGTTACCGTCAACAACTCATCAGGATCAAAAAGGTGATGAGTGCTTCTTTGTATCATACTAATTACATCCCCGACATGATGCGCTACCAGCAACTCCTCTTCGTTCATCTACACTCATATACAAATTGTAGAACGTGCTTAAAATTTGAAATTCACTTCTCCAGAACCGAAGAAACACATGCATCACAAATGCAAAGTACACACATGACACAAATATGAAAGAATATTACCTTGAAAATTGCCAATGCTACATGAAATAGAACCTTACCACCTTCGTAGAAGAGGACATCCCATACCCGCAAAGTTGTCTGAAATGAATTAGCAGAGACAAAATTTACTAATGATTAACCAATTTTTAGCAGGTGTTTGCACATGGGTTTGGACAATCTATTTTATAGCAAAATCGGACACAAAATAGAAGACATAAAGAGAGAATTTTTTAACCTCAGAAGGCAAACTTTTGGAGAAAAGGCAGAGAAACCACTCAGTGCAAACAAGAGAAACATCAAATTCTAGAGCATCCAAATGAGCGGCTAGCCTGCATTTTTCCTCATCAATTTCAGAAAACAGTCTATAGTCATGCGAATCACAAACATCAGGGGAAAAAAAATGAAAAAAAAAAAATGAAAAAAAAAGGTGCAAGTACCTTGGACATTTTTTGGTTAATAGATCCTTGAACACTCTTTGCTCAACATGGCATCCGGACAAGTTATTAGTATAACAATCACTAACCAATACGTTCTCTAAAAGGACAGCAAGCATCCAGAAAGCATCTTCTTCAGTTTTCATCACAAGCAACAATAATGCTGCAACATAGTTCAATCCCTGCCAAACAATCAACCCATTTAAATTAGTTTTATGGAAACGCATTTTCAAGTGATTTATCAACTACTACTGAAGAAAAAAGAGAACTGCTCGCTACCGGTTCCTTCCTCTTTTTCTCTATGTCAAGCACATTTAAAGCCAGTTTACGTCAAACATTATTAACTTGTAAGAAAAAGTTGGACGTTTTAGGCAGTTTGGTGGAGAACCTGGCTCTATTAAGCTAAATATATTAGTCTTTGAATATTAGTTCTTTGAGGAGTGCTACACATCACTTACACAATTAGACAGTAGCATTATAGCAACACCAGAAACTGCAAACTCAGTTTGCTCTTTGACTTCTAAACTGTCTAGGATAGGTGCAACTTGTAGGAAGCAGGAATTGGATTGAACTGTTTAGAGCTACACAACTGTCTATGTTGATTAAAAAAAAATCATCCTAATTTCCTGTCCTCAACTTTCAATTCTTTAGTAGCTTAGTTGAATATCCTTTTTGCTCCTATTTAAGTCAAAACAAGGACAGAGCTTTCAGTTGCAAGCTCTCAATTACAACATAACGTGAAGGAATCAATTGGTATCTCCTCTAAGATATGCATAATCCAGCTAATAAAAGATAAGTGGCTGTGACAAAGGACAGCTAAGTTTTTATAGACTACATAAAGCATGGAAGCACGGAGACTTGTATCTGAAAAAGATAATTACAAAAGAATCTATCCTAAAACGAGAAGAATAATTCTACCTGGCAGTAGCCGACATCAGAATCTCGGAAAGAGTAGGCAACAAGAACCCGCCTAAGAGCAGCATGACCCTCAGGAGTGTCC